GTCCTCTCTCGAATGTCTCGGACTGGTCCAGTACAAGCCTTGCTGGCTGCATCCATGGTTTCCACCTCCGCATTGAAGCTGATGTTCTTTTCGTCGTGCTGCGTCGCCACTGTGGGGTCTTCGGAGATAAAACCAGTCGGAATCCTTTCAGAAAGGTTTCGCCCTTGTCCCGGAAGTGCCGTCAAGCTGGCTGCCGGGACAAATGACACATCATCGCCAAACTTCACGGACTTCTCGTCCACATCAACTTGAGCATCTTGGATAAAGCCTGTTGGCGTCCTTTCTCGAATATCTCGCGCAGGTCCCAAGCACGCTCTACTGGCTGCATCCACTGCCTCCACTTCAGCACTAAAGCTGATATTTCTTGCATCATGTTGCGCAAGCATTGCTGGAGCTTCTGAGATGAAACCAGTTGGAATTCTCTCAGAAAGTCTTCTTGCTTGTCCTGGTCGTGCCTCAGAACTAGCTGCTTGCACATATGACACACCATTTCCGAACTTTACAGACTTCTCGTCCTTATCCATCTGCGTGTCGTCAATGAATCCTGTCGGTGTCCTCTCTCGAATGTCTCGGACTGGTCCAGTACAAGCCTTGCTGGCTGCATCCATGGTTTCCACCTCCGCATTGAAGCTGATGTTCTTTTCGTCGTGCTGCGTCGCCACTGTGGGGTCTTCGGAGATAAAACCAGTCGGAATCCTTTCAGAAAGGTTTCGCCCTTGTCCCGGAAGTGCCGTCAAGCTGGCTGCCGGGACAAATGACACATCGTCGCCAAACTTCACGGACTTCTCGTCCACATCAACTTGAACATCTTGGATGAAGCCTGTTGGCGTCCTTTCTCGAATATCTCGCGCAGGTCCCAAGCACGCTCTACTGGCTGCATCCACTGCCTCCACTTCAGCACTAAAGCTGATGTTTCTTGCATCATGTTGCGCAAGCATTGCTGGAGCTTCTGAGATGAAACCAGTTGGAATTCTCTCAGAAAGTCTTCTTGCTTGTCCTGGTCGTGCCTCAGAACTAGCTGCTTGCACATATGATACACCATTTCCGAACTTTACAGACTTCTCGTCCTTATCCATCTGCGTGTCGTCAATGAATCCTGTCGGTGTCCTCTCTCGAATGTCTCGGACTGGTCCAGTACAAGCCTTGCTGGCTGCATCCATGGTTTCCACCTCCGCATTGAAGCTGATGTTCTTTTCGTCGTGCTGCGTCGCCACTGTGGGGTCTTCGGAGATAAAACCAGTCGGAATCCTTTCAGAAAGGTTTCGCCCTTGTCCCGGAAGTGCAGTCAAGCTGGCTGCCGGGACAAATGACACATCGTCGCCAAACTTCACGGACTTCTCGTCCACATCAACTTGAACATCTTGGATAAAGCCTGTTGGCGTCCTTTCCCGAACATCTCGCGCAGGTTTCAAGCACGCACTACTGGCCGCATCCACTGCCTCCACTTCAGCACTAAAGCTGATGTTTCTCTCACCAGCTTGTGCCATCACAGCATCGT